GGATTCCTATTCTGGATTAGACTCTTCCAGTTCTGGCATTTTGGGACTCTAAGGAACGTTTGCTGGCAATATCTGTCGGATACCACCCATTGTTCCAGTTTATCAAGATCCTTTTGGATCCTGAGCTTGTCTTCTGGGGTGTTGGCTATTCCTGCCAGTTTAGTATCATCTCCCATAAGCAGGTAGGCTGGAGATGTTCCTCTCGATTTGATCTGCCTTCAGGTCCAGCAGCGGATTGGCTACTGTCCCCAATTTGATGCACTTTTGGATCACATGACCGGGAGGGAGACCTTGAGCATGTACGCCCGACTGCGGGGCATCCCCGAACGCTACATCGGCAGCTGTGTGGAGAACATGCTTCGTGGGTTGCTCTTAGAACCTTACGCCAACAAACTCATCCGCACGTTCAGGTGAGAAGGCCTTATGAACCAGAGGTGGGTTAATAATAATAATAAATAATAATAATAATAATAATAATAATAATAATAATAATAATAATAATAATAATAATAATAATAATAATAATAATAATAAAGTTGGAAGGGACCTTGGAGGTCATCTAATCCAATCCCCTGCTCAGGCAGGAAACCCTACACCATTTCAGACAAATGGCTGTCCAGTCTCTTCTTAAAAACTTCCAGTGTTGGAGCATTCACCGCTTCTGGAGGCAGGTTGTTCCACTGGTTAATTGTTCTAACTGTCAGGAAGTTTCTCCTTAGTTCTAGGTTGCTTCTCTCTTTGGTTAGTTTCCATCCGTTGCTTCTTGTCCTGCCTTCAGGTGCTTTGGAGACTAGCTTGACTCCCTCTTCTTTGGGGCAGCCCCTGAGATATTGGAACTCCGCTATCATGTTCCCCCTCGTCCTTCTGTTCATTAAACTGGACATCCCCAATTCCAGCAGCCGTTCCTTATATGTTTTAGCCTCCAGTCCCCTGATCATCTTTGTTGCTCTTCTCTGTACTCTTTCAAGAGTCTCAACATCTTTTTTACATCGTGGTGACCAAAACTGGATGCAGTATTCCAAGTGTGGCCTTACCAAGGCATTGTAAAGTGGTATTAACACTTCACGTGATCTTGATTGTATCCCTCTGTTAATGCAGCCCAGCACATTCACCTCCTACACTCATCCATGATGGGAGGTGGGACAAAGTGGGAACAGGGCCTTTGTTTCACGATTAGAAATGTCTGATGGCAACTCTTATAGATAACCTTTCTCTCTCCCTCCCTGCAGTGGTGGGAACAAGCGGAAACTGAGTGCAGGAATCTCTCTCATTGGTGGACCTCCTGTGGTGTTCCTGGATGAACCTTCCACCGGCATGGACCCTGTTGCCAGGCGCCTATTATGGGATGCAGTCGCTCGGACACGGGAGTGTGGGAAGTCCATCATTATCACATCTCACAGGTTGGCTCTGCTTCTTTGTCTTCCATCATCCTGGGGCAAAACAATTGGATTTCTGTCAATCTCTAAGGAAATGTTTCACAACATTTCACAACAGGGTGAATTTTAAATAGGGATAATTTTTAATGATTTTAATAAGAGACACAGCTACAAATATTTGGTTTTTAATTGGCTTTTATTGGGGAAATGTACTATGTTGTTTTAATATGCTGTGAGCCGCCCTGAGTCCCGTGGGGAGAAGGGCGGCATATAAGTCTTAAAATAAATAAATAAATAAAATAAACCTTGGCTGCTTGAAGATCTGTGGACTTCAACTCCCAGAATTCTCCAGCAATTCTCTGTACTCTTTCAAGAGTCTCAACATCTTTTTTACATCGTGGTGACCAAAACTGGATGCAGTATTCCAAGTGTGGCCTTACCAAGGCCTTTTAAAGTGGTATTAACCCTTCACGTGATCTTGATTCTATCCCTCTGTTAATGCAGCCCAGCACTGTGTTGGCTTTTTTGGCAGCTGCAGCACACGGCTGGCTCATATTTAAGGGATTGTCCACTAGGACTCCGAGCTTTGCACTTGCTATTTATCTTTCCCCCTCTCTAACGTCTGCCTCCTTCTCTTGCAGCATGGAAGAATGTGAGGCTCTCTGCACCAGGCTGGCCATCATGGTCAACGGGCAGTTCAAGTGCCTGGGTAGCCCTCAGCATCTGAAGAGCAAGTTTGGCAGTGGCTATACGCTGCTGGCCAAGACCCACTGCGATGAAGAAGGCCACGTAGAAGACTTCAAGGCCTTTGTGGAGAAGACATTTCCCGGTAAGCCAGCTTTGTAATCCCAAAGGTGGGTTTTTCGCGAGGCAACTGGACTTACTTGTTTTTCCTTTGAAGACGTTTCGCTTCTCGTCCAAGAAGCTTCTTCAGCTCTGACTGGATGGTGGGGAGTGGAAGGATTTATACTCCTTGAAGACAGCTGGTCATTTGTGCTCTTTTAGAGAGTCGTTGAGGCCACTTGGAGCTTTATCTGTGTCCTCAGGGTCACCTGAGTGGTGCAAATGGGCGTGGAGCCTTCTTGGAAGTGTTGAAAGGACTGTGTTGTAGACTGGACATAGACGATGTCGTATCTCTCCCCCTCTGTTGAGAGAGGGCTGTTCAGTCTTGACCTAGATGGCCTCTTTGACCCCTCTTTCAAACCAGCGGCCCTCTCTGTCCAAAATGTGGACCTTGCTTTCTTCAAAAGAGTGGCCGTTGTCTTTTAAAGGCAGATGGACTGCTGACTCTTGTCCTGATGGGTTTGTTCTCCTGTGTTGTGCAAAACCAGCCCATAGCAAACAATTGTTCACTTAATAACCATGATGGTCCTTAAATAAGCTCTGAGCAACAAGATAACATTCAGAAGTGATTCAGGCAGACACCTCCCTGATTCGCTGAAGTATAGGGAGGGAAGGAAGGTCCAGCAGAATCAGAGTTGCAAGATTTGGTTATTACAGCCAATCTGTAGGAGAAAAGCAGGCACAGCTGGGGGGGGATGGAGTTAAGGGTGTCATCAGCTTAGAGTCCTTATGTTGTCACAAACATCCAAGTTCGACCCCTCTTGAATTTTGTTGACCCTTATCTGATGCCAATTTAGTACTGAACTGCAGTTGACTAGATTCTTGTGTATAGACTTGAGCAATAGATCTTCAACTGCAACTTAAAGCATGGTCCTGATACTTTGCTCCTTTTTTTTAGCTTTCTTGGGACCAGTTGATTTACTGGTCTAGTCTACCTAGTGGAGTTGACTGCATAGGACACTTGTGTCTACTCTGCCTATTGCAGAACATTTAATTGGGGCATTAAAATTCAGAGTGGTACCTTGGAAGATAGGAAACCAGGACAGAGATTTTCAACAAACTGTTGGCCGCAGTTAATAACAATTGCAGATTGGTTTGGGGGGGATGTGGATGACTTGGCTATATCTTCTTTTTCCCCTTTCCCAGACAGCATCCTGAAGCATGAACACCAGGGGATGGTCCACTACCACCTCACCAATAAGAACCTCAGTTGGGCACAGGTAAGGCTGGAGCGATGGCCAGTAGTGGAAATTTCTTTCTCACTAAGAAAAATATTGTATATAAAACTGATCCGTCAGGGAAGGGTCTAGAACAGCTCAACAAGTGAAAGCTAAAGATCTTCAGTGGGAACTCCAACGTCCTTTTTCCATACTGGTGTTGATATCTTACAAGCTTCTAAACCTTGGATGGAGGCTGTGGCTTGGAACTGTTAACTACCCCTTTCTCTCCCTGTGTGTCTTGTGTCTCCCAGGTGTTTGGGACACTCGAGAAAGCCAAAGAGAAGTACTGCATAGAAGATTACTCTGTAAGCCAAATCTCCTTGGAGCAAGTCTTCATGAGCTTCACGCGTTTCCAGCATTACACAGAAGATCGTGAGAAATGAGTCCAGTCTTCTCCAGCTTCTTTTCGTGGACTGACCTGTTGCCTATAAGATAGTATACAAAGAGAAGGTAATTTATAGTATCAGCCATGTCTCCAACGACAAAAAGAATGGACATATTCTCATGGGACAAGGGATACGCCGCCGTACTGACATTATGAGGATGAATGCATGGGTTGTGTGGCTGTGTTGTATGTCCATTTGTCTGTGTGAGGCATGAGAAGGAGGAATCCTTAACCATCTTTCGAGGCAGCTGGGATGTCCTACCAACTCTCAATCCACTTTGATGATGATGATGATGATAATGATGGGAGGGCCTAGCCTACTAGCAGTCGTGGAGGCAATTAACCCCGAATCCTGGGTCAATTCCGTAATTCAGCATATTGGATGCTTGGATACTAGTTTCTTCTTTCTTTCCCACCCTCCCAATCTTATCTTCTTGAGAAGTTCCCACTGCACCAGCGTTGGTGTCGTTGGCCTGCCTGCATGTCCGCAGTTTTGGAGCGTTGACAGCACGTATTCATCCAAATGGTTGTGATCCGTACCTGTACGTTCAGACCAAACTCTTTAGAAGGTACCCACTCGTGGTTCTTTTGAGGGTTTGCATCCCTTGGATGGTGAAAAAGCAAGCACATAAGTGAAAGAAGCAAGTCATTCTGAGCCTTCCCTAGACTGCACCCAGGGAATGGACTCTGCTCTTCAAGAAGTAGTC